TTTGTGACACGGTGCACTGGATGGAGGGTTTAGGGATTTTAGGGTTTAGGGTTTATTGATTTTAGGGGTTTTTGTTTGTCTTCGAGGGTGTACTGGGCATAAGGCTTACCCTCTATGGGAGTAGATCCCTAACATCATCTCCAAGCCCCAAACTCAATGCACCGTATGGAAACCCGAATAGCAGGACAGAACTAGCTCTTCGTGACTCTGAACTCCCTCAACCCGACATATTATAGAACTACTTCTACGTTCGAGACTAAGCCCCAAAACCGTTCTCAACTACCTGTATATAAGTGTACTTCCCCACGAGGCTTCTAGACCCTGAGCCCCAACATCTTCTCCGGCTAAAGGATTCCAGCCCTCGCAATGAACTATCGGTAACTATCGTTTAGGGTTCAGGGGTCGCATCAAGGTTCCTCAAGGTTCTAGTAAGGGCTTCCCAACAATACCGGTTGTTCCTGTTGTTTTCGGGGTCCCTTTGTAAGTTGGGAAACAGGAAAGCAAACGGACCCTCATGGACCCTCGATATCCTGGCAGCCTGTCTTGGGATTATGATCCCGACGTGTTTTGGTCTTTAGTCAGTGATGGTCGTCCCTGACAAGACTGAAGATAGTTCTGGCAATGCTTCTAGCCTGAACCCTGAACCCTATCAGATCAAGAGAAATTAGTATAAAGGCTATCTAGCCGCGAACGAAACTCAGTCTGTAGTTTGTGTGGTGTAGGAGCAGAATCACTACATCTTGAGCTTGGAATTTGACCCCTTTACCCACCAGCCCTGGCCTCACCCGGGCATACTCCTCCAAGACCCGCATAGATGCTTGCACCGAGAAGAAACCGCAAATCGCAGTCATAAATCCTAAAAGCAAAGCCCCTAAACCCTAAACCCTCAAAGTCCTAGAACAGTACAGCCGGAGCTAAAAACTTCAGGAACGCGCGGCCCTGCGGCGCTATGAGGCCAGCTTTGGTCGAGGGGACGGCGCAGCCCATGCAGGTGCGAAGGGGGAGCTAGATCACATGAATCCCGAGTGGCTACTTTGGGTTTCATCAGCAGATAGCCTTACAATACATAATTCCGCTTTGAGTTCTTCAGCTTCTTGGGCATTGAGCTGTGGGACCCCAGGAGTCTGGAATCCCAGGATAGCCGAGGGCTGTGAGTTCATGGGAGCGTGCTTTGGCGCACATGGGTCAGTAGACCCCAGAGCTTGGAGAGTTGCCGGGCCTTTTCGGGCTGGCTTACTGGATTGTTAGACCGGGTTCAGGGTTTACCCAACGGCGTCGCTGGGGCAGGCGCATGGTTTGCCCTTTTGAGCTAACCGCAGGTGCCATCTTTGCGGATCCTTTTAAGCAACCCATGCCTGCAGCCAATGTTGGGTATACTGTCATGACTTTAACTGACGGTTTGCTTTGTCTTTATCGTCATCACATTCTCAGTTGTGGGTATACTGTCATGATTTGAACCGACGGTTTGCTTCCTCTTTGTCGTCATCATGTTCTCATTCGTGGGTATACTGTCATGATCTTAATTGACGGTAGGTAGTGTTACTCGCCTTTTCGTTTGGAGAACATTTGCCGGTAGCAGATGCGCTCGACACAGCGATGCTAGTGTTCATCGCCATCATCTCGATCACCATCGCCAAGGTCGTCCGTACAACCATCACTAGCATCGTTGCCATCATCATCATCCTCATCATCATCAGCATCATCATCATCATCATCAAACGGTCAGCTGATGTACCTTCAGAGGTCACCAACGTTACCATCGTTCTCATGGTTATCTTGACCGCGCATCGCTACCAACTTCATCACGGCCCTGTCATCCTCATCACCACCATCATCATTAACATCGCCATCACCATCAGCATCGTCATCATAACAACTGCATCATCCTCGCTGTCACCGTTACGGATGGCCACTGTTGGGGCCTATCTCCTTCATGGTCCTTCAGCCCCTACCCTGAAAAACTGTGAAGCAGAATCTCTGTGAGTCTGTCGAAACTGAAAATCTCGAAGCTCAGCCTCACGGCAGGCTACAACCGAAAGGCATTTCCTTGGTTCGTGCAGCGCAAGGCAGCAGCAAGTCGCGAGAAGATAGAGTTTACGGTGACGTTAGTGTTAGGGCCTTTTCGGGTTTAGGATTAGGGTTAGGGTCCGCTTTGGTTCACAGCGGTTTTGACGAAGGCTATGCAGAATTTCGAAGGGGATGTGGTTGATCTTGATTGGTGTTCATCTGCAGCGTTCCTTGGTTGTTGTTGTCGTCGTCGTCGTGGTTGTGGTTGTTGTTGTTGTTGTTGTTGTTGTTGTTGTTGATGCTGATGCTGATGCTGATGCTGATGCTGATGCTGATGCTGATGACGGTTGCCAGAATCGCTAACTATTGTGGTTCACCTTG